ATTATGCCCGTAATTATTACTAATTATTCTGAATTATTTTTAATTATTATTATTTTATACATTTGGTGGTCAAAAATCAGATATTATTATTTTATACATTTGGTGGTCAAAAATCAGATACAACAATTATAGAAAGTTTTTATAGGTTATATAAAAATTAAAATCATATATTTCTTTTGCTACATAATAATAAAACTTTAATAAATGATTTTAACTTTTAATTACTAATAAAAACCATCATCACCACCTCCACATTCGACACCCCCATATCCCCACAGTTATGGTTCCCATGCCATCACCACCAGTATCATCGCCTACCCCTTGGTGTTGCCACCGCCACGGTTTCCATCATCACCATGCACCACCACTTGCACCACCGGCACCCCATTCTCACCATGTTGCTGCCACAAACCGTGTGCCACTACCACCCGCACCGCTGGTGCTACCGCCAACGCACCTAACAACGTGTGAAAAACATATATACAAATATATATAATCAATAAAAATTCAAAAATACATGTGTAACTGATACGTATAAAGTTTCATATAAAAAAAATACAAAATTAGACTTGATACATGTAAAGTTGATTATAAATGTATTTGTATATGTGGATAGTTTATTATACACTGTGGCAAAAAATCGGTCCCGCGTCAGATCGGACCGAGCCCAAACACTTTTCATGTAATCGGTCTTGGTCCCGACCAAAAAACCAATGCTTGGTTAAGGTACTTTGTAACTGGTTTATGAGAACCGCTCCTGATCTGGGGCCGGGTCCAAATCTGTCCTATGTATTTTTTTTTAAAATGTGATCTTTTACATTTTTTTTGAAGTTCTTTAAAAAAAATAAGAAAATGTTATTCTAGTACACTTGAAAATATGTAACTGGGTCAATTAAATACACGTTCAAATACGTTTTTTTTGTTAGAATAAGAGCCGAAATCACGAATTGTAACAAAAATTGTGAATGTTTGTGAGTTGGTATATTTCCTCATACACCATATGACTTATGTATAGCGCATAGAGGGTAAATGGGACAAAAAATAGTCAAAAATGGGGGAAAACGGTCATATGGCTTTTGGGTATCAGTAATAAAACGGTAATATTTTTGAAAACTTGGGTAGGTCCCAAGCTGAGCCTTCTTTTTGGACGAAAACTGTAACCAGTCCCGGACCGTCGGTCCCAAACCGTTCCCAGTTGATCTCAGGTGGGGGCAGGCCCATTTGGTCATCTCTACTGTGAACACAATCAGCCTTAGACCTGAAAATAGTCATAGGCCTAGCCCTTACCCGAGCCAAGTGATGACCAAACCGGCTCGGAACCGCTGAAGGATCGGAACCGGGACTGGCAAAGGCCCGGCCCGGCCCGTGACCAATTATAGGACCGCCAACCGGGACCAGTTATGGTGTTGCAGGGTTTTGAAGGACCGGCCCGACCGGGACCAGGACCGGTTATGGCCCTGAGCCAGTTTTTAAAAAGTAGCCGTTTTTTTTAAATATAGACGTTATATGACCGTTTATGACTGTTTATAGGTCTTTTTTGTCTTCTAAATCCTATATATAAGTGTCATGATTGAAAATTTTATATACCAACTTACAAAACGCAAAAAACGTTCACAATTCTCGGTTTTAATTATAATAAAACACATTTTTATTTATTTGAGTGACCAAATTACAAATTTTATCATGTATTAAAAAAATTTATCACTAAAAAAATTTGAATTTTTTTTTGGTCGGGACCGGGACCAGGACCGGCTAACCATTAACCAGTTATAGAAATGCTTAACCGGACTTAATATTTTCGACCGAGACCGGTTATGACTGGCACTATTGATCCCCGAGACCGGTAAGGCCCAGCCCGACCCAACCCGGGACCGGTTTTAGGCCATCACTGCTCGAGCCCAAGCCAAAAAGTCCAATCCTGTTAGGCCCAATCCCAATTAAGACTGTTACAAGGCCTTTTCTAGTTAGGCCCAGTATTCTGTCTTTAAGGCCCAATATTATCATTTTTTATATATTTTATTTCATGTAATCTATACTGATAAACTAATTCACACATACAACTTTATTCATATAAAACTTAATAGAAAACCAAACAAACAACCCTTAAAGCCAATTAACTAAAAATCAAGTTAATGAATCTAGATTGTTTTTTTTTTTTTGCATAAAAAAATAGTAATTAAAATTGGATTATTTAAATGCACTAAAGTGTTCAGTAGCTGTTATGTCCCAAAATTGACAATTTTACCCATAATAATAGAAGGTCAGACCATTTAGACATATAATCTTGAATGAGATTTTAACGAGAACCGTGACTTCTAAGCCTATTCAAGAAAAAATGGCTTCTTATTGAAGAGGTAATTAATTTTATTTAATAATTAAGAAGTAGAATTAAATTCAGACATTTACTTTAAAGAATGAACACTGAGTTTAAACACAAACCCTGTAAAAGCATCTCAACAGACTCCCCAAAATAAAGAAAATAGAGATTTTGGGAATGTTTTTTGCTATAACAAATTCTCCAAAATGAAAAAGGTAGAAGAGTAGTATAAAAATCACTAAATTTGGAGAATACCCCAAAAATGATTAGAGCATATCCGACAGATTTTTCAAAATATAGAATGAAACTTCATGCTAAAACAAAAATACATTCAACTCCAACAGATTCTCCATTTTTGAGATTACAACATTGATTATCTATACTACCTTATAAACCAGATTTATCAAAAGTCTTAAAAATAATTTTTAATGCACAAAGTACTATACATTTATGCACAAAGTCTTAAAAGCAATTCATAATGCATTAAGTACTACTACTTTATGCATTCAGTCTTAAAATCTCTTAATCTACAATTAAAATAACATATAGTACAAGTTACCAATGCACATTATTATTTTTTCTTTTCCTGTTCCCAAAATATTTTTGACATTTTTTCACTCATGCCTTCACCCTCTCGTACCTCTATGTCTTCTCTCCATCTTCCAAGGTGAGATTTAAACTGATATTTACCATGAGTTAAAAGTTCTCTCATTCATCTACTATTCAATTGCTCTAGAACTCTCAGTCTCGCTCTCGATCTCTTGATTCTTGCTCTTGGTGTAAACCGAACACATTTGTGGAGTCGTTTAAATATGTTGGATTTTAAACTGTCATATAATTTTTTTTCATCGATAGACTGTAATTGGAACCGTAACTTTTATTTATTCAAATTGTATTAATATGTAAAGACCAAGTGTAACTTATATCATTCTTTTTTGCGTCGCCCTATCTTGCTGGAGGCAGATTTCGAAAAAAAGTTGTTTCTTAGTTCGTTAAATCTTCTCTAATAAAACCAGTAAAACTTCAAAATCGTTAAAATTCACGGCTCCCGCCGCATTGCGCAGATACACAACTAATATTATTAAAGTATTTCTTTCATCTAATAAAATATTATTTCTCTCTCATTTTAATCATTTTTGGGGTATTCTCTAAATTTGGAGATTTTTACAATCCATTTCTTACTTTCTTCATTTTGGAGAATCTGATAGACCAAAATCATGTTTAAAATCTCCAAAATATTTATTTTATTCATTTTGGAGAATACTTTTTTACAATAAGAGAAAAAAAAATTATTTAATATATCCACCGATATGAAACTTTAATATTTAGAGAGAGAAAATAATATTTTATTATATAAAAAAATATTTAATAATGTAATTAATGTTGTAATATTCGAAATGAAAAATTTGTTAGAATTAAATGCATTTTTATTTTAGAGATTTTGAAGAAATTTTAGAGAATCTGTTGGAGATGATGTAATTAATACAAACCAATCTTACCGTCCATCTAGTCTAATGAATATTTTTCTTCATAAATATCTTGATTATTTTCTAATTTAAAGTGTTAATCATAATAAATAAAATCTGATTATTTTCTATAAATATCCAAATTATAATAAATAAACACGTTAACCACAAGGATTGTACTTGATTGGTTTGAGCTTGAGCTCCAAAGGTCAAAAGTGTCTGAAGATCCTGTGTTTAAATCGAAGGAGGAATAAAAATCTTTTGTGACCAAATAGATTCAAATACGGTGACTCTGTAATATCCACAAAACAGATGTTCGTTCTAAAATTAGTCGGTTGGCATGACGGATTATATATCTAGATTAGTAAAAAAAACACTTTATCGTTCGTAGGAAATTTGTATTTAGTAGTGATGATCAAATCGTCCCGGCCCGGCCCGGGACCGGTAAGGACCGACTGGGACCGGTTATGGATTTGAGGTGTTTCATGGGACCGAGACTGACTGGGACTAGGACCGGTTATGGACCGGCCAGGCTCGGCCCGATTTTTAAAAAATATAACTATTTTTTTTAAAAAATGTAGCCGTTTTTGGCCCCTTTTTATATTTTTGTTTTCTAAACACTATATACAAGTGTCTTGGTTGAGAGATTTACATACCAAGTTCTCAATTCATAAAAAACGTAAAAAAACGTTTACAATTATAGGTTTCTCGCTATATTTTATAAGACAATGTAATTTTAATTATAATAAAACGCATTTTTAAAGTGTATTTGAGTGACTCAATTACAAATTTTACAATGTATTAAAAATATATATCATTAAAAAAATAAAAATAAAAAAAATGATCGAGACTGGTTGGCCCGGTTACAATAAAGTTTAATCGAGCTCAACTTTTTCGAGCGAGACCGAGACTGGTTGTGACCGATTATGAGAAATTTTGGTATCGATTTTTGTCCATTATTATTTAGGAGGCAAGGAGCATATTCTTTGTGGGCTTTGAGTAGAAGTGGAAAAGTCAAAACACAAAATACGACCGTTGGAGACACTCCAATTTTTCAAAAAACAATTCGATAATGTCATCGAATCATATACTCCTAAAAAGCCATTAACAAAGCTTCATTATGCATTAAAGCAGAAACCCTATCTATCGTCTTCTCCATTCCACCTCCTCTTTTCTCTCTTGATTTCAACCTTCAGTTGTGATCAACAAACACCAGCTAGATCTGAAACCGCCAACAATGTCGAATCAGAAATTGGTTCAGAGAGAAACAGAGATTGAAGATCAGAACAATCGGTTACATCATCCGTATGCGTTCCATGTATCTGGTCCTCGCAAAGTTTCTGTCCCAAATTGGCGAGATCTCATCAATTCAAGTTGGTTAGTTTCTCGATTCAACTTAATTTTTTTTGTATTCATTAGTTGATCAATCTGTTTTCGTTTCTCTGATTTGTGGTAATTGAGATGTTTCTGTCACTGAAATCGACATTGATTGGAAAATGTATGTGAATTTTTGAGGATTATGTTAGGGTTTGTGTGTAACTTTAGAGGTTAATCTAGAAGATTACTTGAATATTGTGATGCATAAACATAGAATCGTCTGCTATTTGTTGTTTTCCCCTTCGTTTAGTATTATTGTTCTGTAGAAGATCGTTAGGTCCTGTTTGCAAGTTAATTTGAACATCATATTCGACTTTTGTGGTTCAAATTAGGGTTTTAACTTGAAAATAGACATTGCTTACTCTGTTTATGTCTAGAATTGAAATCATTAGAATAGAAGCATTTTGGAGGTATAGAAACCTATAAGATTATGCAACTTTATCAATGAAAGTACTAGGCATGCATGAACAAACCGAAACCAAATGAACTAGTATATCCACTCAAAACTAGGATCTGAGGTGAGATGTATGCAGATTTGTTATCTACCCAAAAGACCCCATAAGGTGGATCAGCTATCTCTGTTTATGGTAGTACTTGAAATGCATCTCTAATCAAAAGCGGATTTTTAACCGGCTTTGGAGTTTGAAGGTTAACCAAGATGACATGACCATAAAGCTCAGAAACAATAGTTTCGAAAGCAAAATTGAAGTCTAGGAAAGGTACTGAGGAGAAGCATATAACAGTGGTAGAAGATTGTTTCCTGTGGAATTAGTTTCTGGACCTAAAGCTATATTGACCAAACTGGTTTCATGTATATGGAGAAAAGCTAAAGGGTTTTAAGTACTATTTGGTCACTTCCTTCAAGTTTTGAATTTTCATTTGGTGCATCTTGTGATGATATACGTAGAGGGGGACCCCACAATGGATATATTTATGAACATCTGAAGTTTAGTTTGTAGCTATGATCGTGATCACCAAGTGGATCTTTCGTACTTCAGATTTCTTTGTGGTTTTTCTCCTGTGCAACGGGAAGTTTCTTGAGTTCGTATTATTGCTAGAAACAGCTTAATGAGAAAGTGTATCTGATAGTGATTCCGTATGCAGTTAAATTATGGCCTCTTACTATAGTCCTGGCTTTTTGTCATGTACTTGTAGTTGTCGGTATTGTGCTTTATGTTTCCTTGTTTGTTTGACATATTTACCTCACATATGTCCCCGATGAATTCTTTACTTACCGTATCTGTTGCATGTTTGCATACACTCACCTGTAGCTTGCTCGCTTGTTTCTTTTAATTTCCCTTTTTTTGCAAATCGGGTGGTCTTCTTGGAGACAGTCTCTCTACCCATTGGCGACTTGGGGTATAGGCGGGTAGAAGCAAGAACTATGTACATCCCACCCCCAAACCCTATCTTGACGTGGGATTGATTGGATATGATTGATTCCGTTAGCAAAGCATAATGAAATAATACTTTTCATGTGTATAGGAAAGATGGAAACTACAAGAGGACTGTCATTGCCTGTTTTATCCAAGCAGTTTACTTGCTAGAACTCGATCGACAAGAAAAAAGAACCGAGGAAAACGCTCTAGCTCCAAAATGGTTCATACCCTTTAAATACAAACTTTCACGGACTTTAATTGACGAAAGAGATGGATCTATATATGGTGCTATTCTAGAGTGGGATAGATCAGCAGCATTATCGGATTTCATCCTCATTAGACCAAGCGGTGCACCTCGTGCAGTTTTAGCTCTAAGAGGAACACTTCTAAAAGGCCCGACTCTTAGGCGTGATATAGAAGACGATCTCAGGTTTCTAGCATGGGAAAGTTTGAAAGGTTCCGTGAGGTTTAATGGAGCGTTAGAAGCTCTGAAATCGCTTGCTGATGCTTATGGAAGTCATAATGTTGCTGTTGCTGGCCACTCGTTAGGGGCAGGATTCGCACTTCAGATCGGCAAAGCGTTAGCAAAAAACGGGCTTTTCATCGAGACCCATTTGTTCAATCCACCATCCGTTTCGCTTGCTATGAGTTTGAAAAATGTGGGCGAAAAAGCGGTCGTTGTTTGGCAGAAAGTCAAGTCAATGCTGCCTTCTAATGCTGTTACTGCCACTGATACTGATACTAATACCGGTGTTGCTTCTAATAATGTAGTAGCATTTAACAAATGGGTGCCTCATTTGTATGTCAACAATAGTGATTACATATGCTGCTATTATACTGATCCAGCTGGTGGTGGGGAAAGTGGTGGTGCCGCCAGTGAAAAGGAGAACGTGAGGCCGCTGTCGGCCGCCAACGGACAAGTTGCGGCGAAGCTTTTTGTGTTGTCGAAAGGGAAGCAGAAGTTCATGGAAGCACATGGATTAGAGCAATGGTGGTCAGATGATTTGGAACTTGAATTGGCTTTGCAAAATAGTAAGCTTATTAGCAAGCAATTGAAGTCATTGTATAGCCTCCCTCCTACCTCCGCCACAAACCGCCGATGACCGCTATCTGAACCACCAATGACCGCCGTTGGTGCTTGATTGAACTTAAAAAAGAAATGGTTGATTGAATATATATGTGTATTGATTCAAATAAAAAAATGTTGATTGTATCAGGCTGGAGATTTGTTTTCCCTTACTGATCAAAAGACCGAAAATCTGTTTGATCTATTGGTGCCTGACGAGATCTGTTGGTCAAAACGTTCGTTGCCAACATTCTAGGGTCCGTTCGTTTGTTTTTTAGTAATCGGTTTAATGAGTTTAATGGTTTATTTGCTCGTTCATGAACCACTGTGTTTTTTACTTTATTTTTACATGATTGTTAGAATGACTGAATTGGATAAGCTATGATCTATATAATGTCCATGTTAAGCCATCTTATTGCTTACTCCAAAACAGTTTTTATTGAGCCAAAATCATCAAGTTCTTAAAGGGTGTGTTTGGTACATTGGACAGGGACAAGACAGAACAGGACAGAGATCCCTGTCCCATGCTTGGCATGAATTTTATGTGGAACAGACAAAAACATAGTTGAACAAAGTGGAACAGGCTTGTTCCACCCCTGCCCCATGAAACAGGGTGGAATAAGGTGGAACAGATTTATATTTTACCTATCTCAAAATAAAACTTAATTATCTTTTAAAACATCAAATAGGTCTCTTTTTTACATTTTATTCATTCTTTAAATTCTATTTATAGTATTGAACTTTCATTTTACTGTTCTCAAAATATTATTTTTATACGGTTTTTATATTTTTATTTAATTTATGTAATTTATGTAATTTATTATACATTAATAATAAAAAATAATGTAGAAAAGAGATAAAAATAAAAATAGAAAACTTTATAAACTTTTTATTTGGTGTCATTTAATTGTTTTGATGAAAACTTCAAATGATATATTTTGTTATAAAAAATAATTATTCTATTATAATTTAATAAATTACATAAATTAATTAAAATAAACAACTCATCAGGGGTAAATTGGTCATTTTACTTGTTCTGTTTTGTCCAGTTTGATCTTACCAAATGTTGAATAGTTGTTCTATCATATTCTATCCTGTCCTGTCTTGTCTGGACACCAAACACACCCGAAGTGGCTATTTTACAACTTGCTAAATGCACTTTTTATATCAAAACGTGATTTTGGTTGGCCAATTTACAAGCTATCAAGGACATTTCGTAAGCCACAAAGGGCATTTCGCAAACCGATTCCTCCTGAATCATGTTTAATTCAGAAAAGTACATTTCACAAGTTGCGAAATCGGCATTTGTGATATCTTGACCATTTTAGTCAACTTTTGGACGATTTCCGTATCTGATTTGTATATGCAAACACCAAAGGAAAATGTTTTCATATTTCTATCGAGGTCAGTTTACATATCGGTTTTGAATCTTCCAACACGTAATGACCTAATTGTATGAGCGGAAAATGGTGTCATCAATGGAAATATATAGAACGAGCGAGATTACCATGAAATATTTACTCATAGTCATCCGTTGTGTAGACATGTTAAGCCGAATGACTCTTTTCTCCTACATCCGTTCCTCCAAGAATTCATTTCGAGATTTTTTTTCACTATCTAAACGATACAGAACTAATAAAACAATTGATTGATTTTGTATATGGAAGAGCGGGAATATATGTTAAATTTAAACCGTTATAACTTTTGATCTGTATAAAATTATGGGTCCCACAAGCCGGTCAACTAAAAAGCTTGGGGTCAAAATCCATCGTTAAGCCACAGGAACTAATACGATAGGTCATATACAGTAGATATAATCAATACGTATCAAACATATACCCACAGTAGAAGTACTTCAATACCACATTATAAGTATAGTAGGTAGACTTGAGATTGCGTGAGACCAGTATTTTTTCATGAAACCCGCGATTTTTTTACACTTGAAACTTCACAGCAAAATGTATTTGTGATTGTCGAAAACGTTAGGGGACAAACATGGAGAAAAAATTTGTGATTTTTAAGTCGTTTCCATTTTCGAAAAGCTTCTACTATTTTCTTTTTATAAAAAAAATACTAATATACTCGGTTAATTGTATTTGTGAAAAAAATATAAACTGACTGTTCAAAATTGATTTCTGCATCGTATATGTTCGCCCACTAATCTTAACGAGCCGACTCGATCTAGACCCATCCATTTTTCTTTTCATATTTTAACAAGTCAAGTTTAACGGGTCATTTTGTCCATAAACAACTCTGATATGAAGTTGGAGTTAACAACATTCATGTAAATAACCACAAGGGTGGTGCCTGATTGGTTTGAGCTTGACTCCAAAGGTCAAAAGTATCAGGAGGTCCCAGGTTCAAATCCAAGGAGGAATAAAAATCCCCTTGTGGCTACGGAGGTTCAAATGCGGTGACTTCGGGCTATCTGCAAAGCAGGTGATCGTCCTGAGATTAGTCGGCTCGCATAACAGGTTGGATATCCAAGTTAATAAAAAAACATTCATGTAAACATGTTCCACACCTATTTGGGGACCTCAGATGAGCAGGGTTTCATGGAATCAAAATACGTTGTCCCATAATTTACTGTTCTCTTCCTATCCCATCAATTACTTTATTTTATATAATATTGGGGTTGTTTACCAAACGCTTACCAAGTCACATTATCTTACTGGATAAATATGATAGAGACCAATAATCTTACCCAATAAGAGCGAGACAAGGACCCAGAGTGTCTTACCCGGTAAGTGAGAGTGACGACTCTTACCACGGTGAGCGCAATTGTTGCATACGATGTCATTTTGGTGGACTAAATTCTTACCCGATACGTAAATATGATAGTGTTACATTTTACCAGTAAGCGCTTATCGAGTAAGTGTTTGGTAAATGGCCCCTCATAAAGATATCGAATTTTTTAAAGATGACATATTTTCTTCCAATTATTTCTTTTGCTTAGACATATGGAAGAAACTTTGTAGCTAAACATATCAAAGGTCCAAACATAACCAGAATGGTGGTGTCTGATTGGTTTGAGTTTGGCTCCAAAGGTCAAAAGTATTAGGAGGTCACAGGTTCAAATCCAAGGAAGAATAAAAATCCCCTTGTGTCCACGAAGGTTGAAATACAATAACTCCAAGTTTTCTATAAAACAAGTGATCGTCTTGAGATTAGTCAGTTCGCATAACGGTTGAATATCCAAGTTAATAATTTTTTTTTTCAAACATGTGGCAATGGTTTCACATCCAATAATTATGTCATCTCCATTGTAGGCCAAGAAAATGAAGAAAAAGAAGGCCAATTATATGGGTTCCAACTTCAAAAGTCAAAGTCAAAGTCAAATTCAAGATAACAATAGAAAAAGGGCCCCAAATGGCAGGATCACAAGGTGCTTGCCACATGGAAAGGAAAGACATACCATACAACAATGAGATAAGAGAGATATATTACTCATTATCTTCACTTATCAGGTAAAACTCTAAGTCCTTGTCTTCGTTCTTACTAAATAAGATTATTAGTTTTTGCTATATTCATCAGTAAGGTAATGTAACTTGATAAGCACTTACTGGTTAAGTGTTTGGTAAACGACCCCTTAGTCATGATCTAAATGTATATATATCTAAACATTATATTGTTAAAGAAAATAACTAGTTATTTCTAAAAGTTAAAAAGGAGTATCGAAAAGGCTGACCCCGAAATCCGATGCACTGGAATTGGTCAGTTAAACAAGCTCGGGTTCATAAATACGAGGTGATCACATGTCAAGTGTACATTCACACTGAAAATAAAACGGAACAAACGTTATGCATCTGAGAAGGATTTGTTTCACAGACAATCGATAATTAACTTAAGAAAGAACACTATTAATTCAATTTTGTAATTATATGTTATTCTTTTATATAACATGTACTAAAGGTTATATTCATGCAAGTGTGAAGTTTTTATAAATTGCCTAAATTTACGCCTAACAACGTTATATATGAATATACGGTCCCAGTGGCGGATCCAGGAAATTAATGAGGTGGGGGTACGTTGGATGGAACTTTGGGAGGGAAGCATATCCATATGGGTTTGGGGGAAACTATGTAAAACGAGAGTGAAAATAGAAAATTTAAGCTGGTAAACAAACGTTTTTGATCTTTGACTGGAGGGTTTTCCCCCAATCCTTAAGAACTGAATCCGCCCCTGTATGGTCCCAACCGTTATTATTTTGTCTCATATGCACCAAACCATCTCCATTTTGAACCAAGAAAAAGGAGAAAAGAAACTTAAGTTTCACGAAATACATACATACATACATACATACATTCATACATACATACAAACATACATACATTCATACATGCATACATACATACACACACACACATATATATATATATATATAGATATAGGTAAAGATTCAAATGAGAATCTCGAAAATTTTAGAAAAGGGAGAAGTAATTTCAACCACTAGTTTAAAATTTCTATTTCTAGGTATTTTTTCACTAATTAAGATAACAATTGAAAAACTCAGGTATCCTAATTTATCTTCTATTTTTTATTACATTTTTCAGATATTGATAATCAACGAGTTTATTCAATTTTCCATCTTGAAATTATTAGCGATTTTACAATCTACAAATCAAATTAGATCTCATTTGCCTAAACCTCATATGTGAACACGAATATAGATACTCTTCATTGGTCATTAGAAATGCAACCAAACATAAAAGATCTTAACAAATCAATAACAGACGGTGATAATTAGATGTATGTTGGCTCATATGTGAACATGTTAATCCTAATATATATATATTCACATGTGAATCTTAATTATAACTTCTACATGAATCAATTTAAAACTTATAACCGAGATTCTGAATCTGTTTAAGATTCATATGTAAACATGTAAATGATAACAAAGATTCACAAATGAATCATAATATATATTCACATGTGAATTTTAATTATAACTTGTACATGAACCAAACAATTTATAGTCGAGATTTTGAATCAGTTTAAGATTCATATGTGAATATATATATATATATGTGTATT